CATGAGGTCCAGGCTCCCACCTGCAGCCACTCAGGGCAGGAGAGTAGCCCAAGCAAGGCTGACAGAAGGTGGATCCTGATCCAAATCCAAGTTCTGCCCTTTACTAGCCTCTCAAAGTCCTGGCTCCCAAACTGCAATGCTGTCCCTCACTTTGCAGAGTGAAGACATGGCTAAATCTAGCTAATTAACACATGCATTACCTCATAAAGTTATCATTTCTGTGGTGAGAACATTCAAAATCTACTCAGAGTTTTTTTCAAGAATACAATGCATTGTTATTAACTATAGTCACCATATTGCACAATAGATCTCTTGAACTTATCCCTCCTGTCTAACTGAAATACTGTATACTTTGACCAACACCTCCCCCTAAAAGTCATATACATTTTTGCATAGATTAAGGAGCTGGAAAGACCTTGAGATAGCATCTCCCTGGTCTTGACCGTGATGATGATACATGTCAAGTTCAATCTTCCTTATTTTCCGTGTCTTATGTGGCTGAATATCACCACTTCTAAAACTCAGATTATCTTTTTTATTCACCAAATCAGCATTTGTCTCAGCAGACTCACTTCAAACTATATTGACTGTAGCCAAAGAGATGGAAACATCGGGATTGTTTATAGTGCTTTGAACTTGCAATAAGTCAAGATTTTAACCTAGTAATGAATACCCATCATTGTTATTTGGTAGTTTTTTTTGCTTGTTTTGGTTTGGGTATTTTTTGCAAAAAAAAAAATGCCTCACAGTCATCTACCACCATCTTTGACTTACGTGTTTCTCTAAGGCTTGCTGCCACCCTCTCCTTCTGGTTTGAGGCTATTTCTCAGGCTGGGCTATCTGCAGATGCAGCAGAATAGCTGAACAAACAATGAAGGGGCTGTTTAAGAAGCAGACAGGATGCAGTGCTTGGCGTCTGGTAAGGACAGGGAATGTGTCATGAGCCTGTTCGGCCTACTGTAGAATCCCACACATGTTTTCTGAAGTTTTTGCCTGGATAATCCCACTGGAATTGGAAAAATGGTGGCCATGCCCGGTCTATTGCTACAGCTCAGTGCAAATGTCTGCTGCAGAAAACAATCTACACAGGGAAACTCTGTCCTCAGTCATGGACCCTGGCCAGGGATCATACAATTGTGTAGTTAGTTAAAAAGAGACCAGGACAAAAAGTATAAGCAGGTCATATGACCCATCCTCTCAGCTGGGAAAACAATTCATGTACCAGTCCTGCTGACAGTGGGCCATCTCAGGAGGGGACCATCCCACGCTGTGGGGAAGCGTTGCTGGTCCTCCGTGGGTCTTTTCAACCACGTTCACATGCCTAGCTGCTGGGTTTCATCCAATGCACCATCAGGAATATGAAAGGCCAGAAGTAAAATAGAAACCAAATAGTCCCTGCAGTCAAGAGGGAGGATGATGTTTGAAAAGCAGTGCAGAGTTGCTTCTTGTCTAGGCCAGTGGCTTACTGTGGTGTAGGGCAAAGGGAAATGCCTGTTACTATTTGTAGGACATAAACTAGCAGTCATAAAACCCAGAATCATCAGCAAAGGACCTGTTGTGATGAAGAACTACAAAATACCGTGTTTGTTCTTACAGTTTATAGAAGATCCCCAGAGGAAGCTGCGGTCTTGCCCTTTGGTTTCTGTCATCCTGATACAGTTTTTAAACTCCACCACGTGAGTTGGAGGGGAAAAGATAGGTCACTCCACTGCATCCTTGCCCTGTGTGTGTAGATGGGCAATCTCCGCTTACTTTTGCATGCAAGAAACACTTAGGGAACTTCCTCTTCCCATTCTGACTCCACTTACCTAAACCAGTGTGTGTTATATAAGCAGAAATAGGCAATGAGAGACCCTCCACACACACACACACACACACACACACACACACACACACACGCCTTGGCCTGAAACTCCCAGGGCAACGGGGAACATTTCCCAGTTCAGCCACCATCTGAGTAAAAGTAATTCTTAAATTAAAAAAAAAAAAACATTTCATACCTCACACAATGATGTCACAACTGACATCATTGTGGAAACTGCCTGACATGCAGCAACACGTGTGAAATGGAGGTAAAAGAAAAGATTAAGTGAAAATACATATTTGAGCTGGTTATTAGAAACAATAACATTTTCAGGAATGAGTCACTTGAGGAAACAATTGATTTGGCTGGGGACAAGCAGTGCCTCTTAGGTATGCTCTGAGAAGATGTGATCAGAACTTAATTTTAAATTTGAGAATTGTAATGAGAACTTGGTTGCTTAAAATCACTGCCAAAGGAAAGGGAGCAAGCATAAGCCAGCCCCCAGAGGACGAATGATAAAATGTGTGTGTCACCCTCAGGGTCAGGAGGAGGGGTAAAGGCTAGTTAAATTAGCTAAAGCTAATTTCTACTTGTCTTTTCAAATGATTTAGCAATGGGAACCCTTTGATTATATGGTTGTCTGCCACAAAGGGTGCAAAAATGAGCTCCTGAGATCCGCATTAATGTATGAGGCAGAAAGGAGGGAAAAGTCTCATTTTCCAGCTCCACAGAGAGCTCTCTGCCTGCTAATGGGCTTTGGTGAGATGTTTGTAATCCGATGCTTTTGGTCTTCATCTTCTCATTTATAGACTGATTTTACATTGCTAGACACTCACTGTGTCTTACTACACAATCAACGACATGACAATTCGCTTGTTGTCCAAGCTGGACTCTAAAATTTGAAACAGCTGATGTTTTCTTTCTGGATGAAAGAACTAAAACACAACTTTGGCACTTAAACTTGGTATGCCACTAGAAGTGTGCTCAAATGGGTCTACGTGAACTTTGCAAAAAATAGGAATGCGATGGTCAGACAGGAATTCATTGCATCATGAGCACTGCTAGATGTGGAGCTGGGGAGGAGACCTCAGAAAAGCGCAGCACCCAGCAGTTTGTGCTTGGAAATGAAGACTTTGGAGTGAAAAATCTCTTAGGTGTAAATTTGAGATCAGAAAAAGGCTAATGAAGAAGTGGTTTTAATCCTTATGTCAGATTCATCCCAAACTAACAGAGGTCTTCAATTCACATATTATCATAAAGTCTACAAATAAATTATGTGAGGCATAAACTTTCCAGAGATTAAAATTGGCTGTATTACTCTTTCTTTAAAATACTCTATATTAATCTGAAACACAAAAGCAAATGCAATGAGTCACAAAAGAATGAAATTTCAAGGTCAATTAATACTATGTTACTCAAGACTTGCGAGACGCTAAATAAAAAATCCCATTATTTTGTGTGTGTAGGTTTTAATATCTGCTCCCCTTGCCTGACTACAACTCAATGACCTTCAAATGCAATATCCATTGTTGCAGTTACTTTCATCTTTACCTGAGTGAAGCAGAATCAATGTTCTTGTCCAGCAATTCCAATTAAGCCACTATAGACAGCCCTGCTGAATCTGCAAGCTTTGGATTTATATTGAGTTAATGAAAGCTGAAAGGAGTTCCCATATTACAGCCACACTTAATGCATCCTTGTCAAAAGGAAAGGTAATTACAACATTGCACGTACACAGTAGGTTGATCAACTTAAGCAAGGTGACAACCATGAATTGATCATGTGAGGGTGTCAATAAAAATCCCACTAGCTGTTATAAAATGTGTCACTTTTAGATGATTTAATTCTCTAGAGCCTGGATGGTTCAGATGATTGGTGAAGAAATAAACATTTAGAGTCACTTATGTTCAGGTCAATGGTTTAAATAGACCTATAGGTAGCATCAAAGCCCCATATCAATTAGTTTTTATTATTTAGACAGAACTCAGGTCTTACTCTAACAATTTATTTCTGTGTAGGTAAATCGAAGAAAAAAATTAATATTTACATTTAATCTTTGGAATAAAAACAAAAATTTTCCTGAAAAAAGCAAGGGAATTGGTAAGATGCAGGCTCTTCGGATGCAGGCATTAGATACACCATAAAGCATTAGCTTTGCTGATCAATTCTAATATTAGGTTTTGACCTGTTGGATTTAATTAGAAGAGAAAAAAAAAATCCAAACTTTAAAGTGGTAAGGGAAAAAAAAAAGAGTACATCTGGTTATTTAAGTACTGTCATCAGTTAACTTATGTAATAATGTTGACTGGTGGTGGGCAAACTCGACTAATTTTATCAACAATGTATTATGTTAATTTCTTATTTAAGACCGTACTGACAACATACATCTATTCCCTCTTCTCCTTTAAACTAACAAGGAAAACACAGTCTATAAAGAAGGGCTGCTGACTGCACTGGAAATAGTGCACAGGGAAGGGAGGATTCAGAAAGAGAAACTTGAGCTCTGCAAACCTTGAGCTAACCTGGACTTCTCCAGACTAGATGGCCGACTGGAGGGGTAAACTGAAGTGCTTTAATTGGCAGAAAAAGGTCAGGATGTGTGGGCAAGTACAGGGAGCTTCCCACAGACAGGGAGAGCGGTTAATTTTGCAAGAAACAGGGTGTGACTGAGGCTGGATTTACAATAAACCTGGATGACATGCAGAGCTGCACCCTTGGATAAGTGAAGGTGAATAAAATGTAAATTGTCAACCAATATCTGTGACCGAAGAGCCAGCATTATTTTTCCTAACTAGGGAACAGAATCATACCAACCTGGCAGGGTGCTGTGACAAGGTATTCAGAGGCCATTTAGCAAATTCTCCTAATATCCCAGCTCATCTCAGCTTCTCCCTGTATTTTTTTTTCTACAAACAGCTGGTACAGGAAAACTTCCAGCATTCAATGGTTAAAATCATGGAATTAATGTAAACATACCTCAAGAAACAGAGAGAAAAGTAACATAATGAAACAAGGTGAAGAAAGAATATACATCAGAAAATTATGGTAAAATCAGTTTCAGATTATAATCAGACATCTTAATGAAAATCAAAGAAATTAAATGAAACATAACCTCTCTGGGGAGAAAAAAAAGGAGAGCAGAAAGAAAAAACATAAAAACTCAGGGGGAAATGACTTTTTTTTTATAAAGGAGATGAAGTGATAGAGAATATAAAACATAACAATGTGAAGGTCACATTAGACATAGAAATTACTAAAAGAAAACGTCAAGAACATATAGAAGAAAGCTTAAGAAAATTGAGCATATTGAAAGAAAAAGAACTAGTTTTGTTAATTAACAAAGGATAAATGTTAATTATGGAAGACAGCTAAAGAAGAGCACTCGCTGTATCCTGAGGAAGATAAAAAAAAGTCAAACAGAAAAATTCAAAGATAAAATAGAAGTCTCCCATAACAGTAGTTTAAGTAACTAATGAATTAATGATTAATTTAAATAAATTTAATTGTTGATTAATTCAAATGATGATTAATTTTCAAGTCCCAGGAGAACTATTTGATACAAGACAGTTTCACAAGCCTTTCTAGGAAACAGAATTATGGTATGGCCATCCAAGAAAATAATAAAGAACATCATTATAAAGTATGGCAGTGACTACTAAATCAATATAAATGTAAAAGTAAGTGTAAATATATGTGAAAATTATTGTTACATTACACAATATAAATATCAACAATAATGACAATGTAGAAATAATAACCTAATGGATAAATTAAAAGCATCATGCACTACGAGGCAATCACAGATGCGTGTTATGGGAACACTAATTATTTATGGAGTCAAGCCTTGTGGATAACAAGGATGAGATATGAGCCAGATCTTAAAAGACCGAGAGTAATTTACCAGGCAGAAACAGAAAGGAAAGGTATTCTAGGAAAAGGGAATCACTGAACTTGAGAGACAGAAGCAGAGCCAGAGAAAGTGCACCAAGAGAGGAAAACTTGTGTTAGAGTTGGTCCAGAACAGAATTATGTTGCGCAGTACAGTTCATCACACAGAGCAGGATACCAACACAAAACTCTGCGCTGACTGAAGCTAAACTGAATATTATGGCAGCATATAAAAGATTTACAAAGGCCATTTTCACGTGGAAAATTCTAGTGATATAATTTTCCAGTGAAAATGACAGAATTTTGAATTACATATTCAGTGTCATTATAATTCTGGTGAATTACAATTCTCTGCAGTTCTCTGGTGATTTGACTAGGCATCAATAAGAATTAAATCATGCACTTACCATTGTTCATGTCGGCTGATTGGAAGACTTCCCCCCATATTAACTTTTGGTTCCAAAAACATCAAATCTTGTTTTTTCCCTGCTACTCACATTTCTCTGTGCCAGGCATCAAAGGACGTGTGCATACTGCAATACAACTTCGGGCCCTGCAACATCAAGTCAGAACACCAGCCAGGTCAGCAGAAAGAAGTCTTCTTGGACATCATTTCCACGGAAGCGACTGTGAACCATTTAAACAAAACCTATCGAAATGCATCCACAACTCATCTTCTTTTAGACAGATCCCCAGAATGCCTGCTGCCACTTCGTTACCACCTGATGTGAGAAGCAGCATGATGGATGGAAGTCTGAGTGGAGAAAGAGAGCAGTCTTAATAATTTCAGTTAACTGACCTTACTTCTGCAAAGTTTACAAAAACACGTGACCATGATAACCTATTGCTAGTGTCTCTCCTGAGCCTTAAGAGCCCTTTTTTGCAAGTGAGGGGAACTGAAGTTGCAGATCCATTACTTTCACAGTAAATATGTCTCTGTATTCTGTTTAAAAACAAAGCAAAGCAGGCCGGGCGCGGTGGCTCAAGCCTGTAATCCCAGCACTTTGGGAGACCGAGGACGGGCGGATCACGAGGTCAGGAGATCGAGACCATCCTGGCTAACACGGTGAAACCCCTCCTCTAACTAAAAATACAAAAAAACTAGCCGGGCGAGGTGGCGGCGCCTGTAGTCCCAGCTACTCGGGAGGCTGAGGCAGGAGAATGGCGTGAACCCGGGAGGCGGAGCTTGCAGTGAGCTGAGATCCGGCCACTGCACTCCAGCCTGGGCGACAGAAGCGAGACTCCGTCTCAAAAAAAAAAAAAAAAGCAGAGCAAAACAAACAAACAAACAAAATCTAATGCACAAAAAAGGGCTAAAAGGAACTACCGCTAAAAGTATTAGCAATGTTCTATTTAGGTGATGTCACTTGTGGGTGAATTTTATTTTTTGTCTACTTTTCTGTTATTATCAAAAAATTTTTTGAAAACTATTTTTTTGCTTTGGCATTAAAATGATTAAATTAGTTTTAAGTGATATTTCTGCTTTCTTATTACACAAAACTGTAATCTTTGATTTATATTTTATCAGATAGGGTCATGAAAGATGCTTTAGCTCCCAAGGGAATTTCATCCCTTTAATAGACATTTCCAGTCTTCTGTATAGATGTATTCACAAGCTATAGTTGCTCCAACCAGTCTTTCCCCTACCTAAAACACTGCATTAAGTTGCAGCATATAGATGCTGGGCAATACTTACAACTTCATTGATAACCAACAATATGCAATAATGAGACTAAGACTTTCGGCCCAGGTGCGGTGGCTCACAACTGTAATCCCAGGCACTTTGGGGAGGCCAGGCGCGGGTGGATCACGAAGTATAGAAGTTGCGAGACCAGTCCTGGCCAACAATGGGTTAAACGCTCATCCTCTAGCAAAAATACAAAAATTAGCGTGGGCCTGCGATGCATGCACCTGTAATTGCTAGGCTATCTCGGAAAAGGCTGAGGCAGGAGAATCACCTGAACCCTGGAGGCGGAGTGCAGTGAGCGAGATCAGTGAGAGCCAAGATCGCGCCACTGCACTCCAGCCTGGGCGACAGGGCGCAGACTTCGTCTCAAAAAAAAAAAGAAAAAAAAGGTAAGCTTTCCTGACTTAGTGCTACACAATTCTTACTGATTAAAAGATAAATCTATATGCCAAACTTTCTCCTCTGACATATGTGTGACATGTTAACAAGAAGTAAAATGGCCCTCAACTTTTCTTTCAGGAAACGCAATCATATTTACGTACATGGATGAATCCAAGAATAATTTTATTTGCTCTTAGAATGAGTTTTAGAGTCTGCTGCTTAAATAGTGTTAAAATGCTGCACATTCCAATCATGAGTACAACAATGAAACCTACAAGAGTCCACATATGGTCTTCACGAGTCAATGAGTTTACAGCAAATTTCCCAAACTGGTATTACACAGAACACTCTTTCAAATGGTATTTATGGATATGGTGTGAAGAAAAATTTCTCAAATATTTGGTAAACACTGGGTCAAATAAGTTGTGTGTGTGTATGTGTGTGTGTATGCATGTGTGTGAGAGAGAGAGAGAGACGAGAGGATTTGTCAGTTTTTTTAAAACTACTGGACTACTGACTTTAATGGGTAAACAAGTGTTATACCTTTTCAAAAGAAAATAGAATATGCTGCATTTCTCAAATATATTTGATCACGGAGCGAATTTTTCTTCCTGCAGCTATTGAAGTCCCTAGATGGACATTTTGAAGACCACCATTTGGAAAAATATTGAGTTAGATTCTGATTCTTCATAGAATTCTATGAAGTGTGGTATTTGGGATCACTGAAAATATTTGTCATCTCTCAACACTGAAATTTAAACAAACCATTGCTACTGGGGAACTGGTTTACCTTTGCTTAAAGGCAAATTCCATATTTATATTTTTAGCATAATTCAATCTGGAACATTGCAACACAGGAAAACAATTAAGTCCCCCAGGGCAGTCACTGTGGAAACCTATTAAAAAGGAGGTAGGGGAGAAAGGGAGCTGTGGAGGCAGATTATTAGAATCTTCAAGATAAAATTACAAAAGATGAGTTCACAAATACGTTCAGTAAAAATGCATGTCTACCAGTTACCTACCCCCTTCAAGTAAAGAGCAATAGCATGCTAAAGGAAAGCAGATGGAAAAGAATTCACATTTCTCTTTCTCCAAATTGTTATTAGAAATAAAAAACTCAAAGGAGTCAATGAGAGGCTGGGTCATGCTCCCAGGTTATTGCTTTGCCAGATAACACAAAGTACTGTCAACAATATCAATTTAATGTTCAAGAAAACATGACACTCTCAAATGAAAAGAAAAAAAGTAAAATGTATCATTCCTTCATAACTACAGAAAAAATTCACTGATAAATTACAGCTGCCATGGAGGTCCAAAGTATTATTCCAAATTACAAGAGTGAATGTGATACCCAAGGTATGAAGCATAAAAATGAGATATACTTGGTTGGCACCACAGTTCTTGAAAGGCAAATACCAGCTGGAGGTAGCAAAGATAAGCAAAATTCCAGTGGAAAAAGGACATTGCACATTGAAAAGATGGAAAATATGTAAGTGCCCACAGTGATATCTTTATTAAGAAAACCACTTACTATTTTCTAAATAAAAGGTATCCTTTTCAAAATAACATCCCTGGGCCGGGCACAGTGGCTCACGCCTGTAATCCCAGCACTTTGGAAGACCAAGGCAGGTGGATCACATGAGGCCGAGTTCGAGACCAACCTGGCCAACATGGTAAAACCTCATCTCTACTAAAAATACAAAAAAAAAAAAAAAAAAAAAATTAGCCAGATGTGGTGGTGGGTGCCTGTAATCCCAGCTACTCGGGGGGCTGAGGCAGGAGATTCACTCGAACCCGGAGGCAGAGTTTGCAGTGAGCCGAGATCGTGCCATTGGACTCCAGCCTAGGCTACAAGAGCAAAATAACATCTGTGGAGTAGGAGCCATTCATCTTCATAGATTGCAGATAAAATAACATACAGGCCAGACATGGTGGCTCATGCCTGTAATCCCAGCACTCCCGGTGGCGAAGGTAAGCAGATCACTTGCGGCCAAGAGTTCGAGATAAGCCTGGGCAACATGGTGAAACTCTGTCCCTACAAAAAATACAAAAATCGTCTGGGCATGGTGGTGCACACCTGTAGTCCAGCTGCCCAAGAGACTGAGGTGGGAGGATCACCTGAACCTGGGAGATGAAGATTGCAGTGAGTCATTATCACATCACTGTACTCCAGCCTGGAAATAGAGTGAGACCCTGTCTCAAAATAATAATTATAATAATAATAATTTACAGACAGACCTCAAGATTGTGGTCATTGTTTGCCTACTAGATACTCTTTTGGACTAGTTATTCTTTGAACTTTGAAAATCAAGTTTCAAGATTATCATGAAACGTGAAATAAAAGGATCAATGTCCTATTTTATGTGGTAGCCATACATTGTGATCCAGGGCTATGCTGAAGACAATTGTATGTATGTCTTCCCAACTCCATGTTCAGTGACATCAATGCAGAGACGGCCTGAAATCAAGCTGCGGTGGAAGTTTTTACACTACAGAAATTGACAAACACCCAAAATCAAGGTTTTGTCTTTTCAGATAATTGATTGCCAGCACAACTCTGGTAATAACTATTGTCAGTACAACTCTGGTAATAACTTGTCAGCATAACTCTGGTAATAACTATTAGTGTTCTGGAATTCTCTTGATTATTGATAGCTAATATTAGTTTTCATTAAAATATTCAGGCTCTGATACTTGTACCTAGATTTACATTTAAGATATAACATGCAGGGATAAAAGTTATGATAAAAGATGTGGCCCCCTCTACTATCTAGAGAAACACCCACACCTAAAGGAGGCTGCTTATAACACACAGTACAAGAAATATCAAACTCCTCTGACCAGAGCCCAAGTGCCAGGGAAATCCTGGCTATAGTACATTCACAAGAACAGGAAAAACCGCACTGATGAATAACAATGAAGTGTTTTGGAAAGAATTCTGAAAGTGTCATTGGGAAATACTAAGAACATGCCAATTGTAGTTTGTAAGTAGCAATCATTAGTTAACCTTAGTAATTCGTTTAGTAAGGTTGCTGGTAAACAGAGCCACTGTATGGGGGATTTGGTTTATGTGCACCTGCCAAAGAGGCAAGCAGGGACTGAAGTGCAATCTGCCCCCCACTTGCTAGCTGCTGGGCTACAGTGGCTACAGCCACCTAGTATCATACAATTTGACAAAGGTGTGTTATGTGCTAAGGACTATCCTGATAGTAAATAGCCCTTGGTTATAGTTAAAAATAAAGGACTGGGCCAGACGCAGTGGCTCACGACTGTAATCCCAGCACTTTGGTAGGCTGAGGTGGGTGGATCACCTGGGGTCAGGAGTTCGAGACCAGTCAACATGATGAAACCCCATCTCTACTAAAAATACGAAACATTAGCCAGGTGTGGTGGCAGGCGCCTATAAATCCCAGCTACTCAGGAGGCTGAGGCAGGAGAATCACTTGAACCCAGGAAGCGGAAGTTGCAGTGAGCCAAGATCGCGC